GTAATTCAGTGGGTTTTCAGTCCGAGTTCAAGTTCGCGTTGTTCAATTCCGGTTCCTATTTGATTTTTCCAGGGACCCCTCTTTACCCAGGTCCATGTGCGTCCTACCGGCACATTGATCCATGGCCCTCCAAAATTGCTCTTTTACTTGGTGAAGTGAGAAATGTGGTCATCGTGTGAGAGACCCCCCAAACTATAAAGCGCTACATTTTGTTTGGTATTCAACCAAGCTTTTGTCGGTTTGGACAGAATGGTATCGCTCTGACTGAATTGTGGGTTGCATTGTCCAGTCTGTGTGAGCAAATAGGCAGAAAACATCGTCGTCGGTGCATATTTTTGTTGAGCGTGGGACGACATTTTCGGGGGCCATAGATCAGTTTGCAGATAGGACGCACTTGGATCTGGTAACCAGGGGTCCCATCGAACGTTTTCATTCTGTACTCTGCAAGGTACTATCCACATAGCAACATGATATCTTAAATTGATACTCGGACATCTTAAATTCATATTGTGACATCTTAAAATTGATATTCGGCCATCTTTAATTGAAATTCGGTCATTTTAAACTGAAAAAGGTATAGTACTCGCACAAGGACAGAACACATCTCTTGATCATCTAACAAAGACAGTGCGATGCAGTCAACGGAGCCGATACGAGGTTGGCATCGCGTTTGGTCGTGCTAATCGATCTGCATTGAATCAGACACGGGATTCGACCACATTGGTTGTCCTAACCAATGGCCGAACTTACACAATTCCCACAGTTTAAGTCATCGTATTCGTTCCGCGCTAGACAAATGCATGATCTTGACTAACCTGGACCAACAGTTTTCGATACATGTATGCAATTGAACGTATATGCCAGTTAGTCGTCAATTCGACTGAATAGTCAGTCCGTCCGCCCTAAATACGCTGATAACAAAACGCGATCTATTGTGGTTGAGTAGTTGAGTAAACTATGCCTCAGGACCAGATGTGGCCATAACGTAGTACGTGAAGTGTGATGTAGCCGCCTGTACAGCAAGTCCCATTGTTCATTTTATGATTTCGCTACACCAACCGTGGTCCAAAACAACTGGGAGTTTATCATCCAGAAAATTTAATGAAGAATGCGATTTATTAGTTAGTCATTTTAATTAGGGATTGCACGTTTGACTTACGTTCTTTCTTTACGACGAATGTACTCATCTTTTTAAAGTAGCTTCTCGTACCATTTGCGATAGTAGTGCAAATGCTCGCCGATCATCACGCTAAAATCACCATCATACCAAAAGTACTTCAAGACATAAGCCGACAACAAGTATTTTAGTGAAAGCGGATTCGCTTGGAAGAGTCAAAGTTTTAAGCATCGTTCAGTAGTATGTTTGGTGCGTGCATGAGGAGGAGGTTGGTGGGTTCTTCTCAGCCTTGTGGATCTAAAACATCACTAATTTGAAAAAGCAAACACAACCCCACCACCCTTGTCACATAAGCAGAGTCACGCGTCTTTCCTCATTAGTTTTTGCTAAACTTAAACAGTTATTCAAATAACTACTTTCCAGGCTTTTTCAGAAATGCGTAGTATGTTTATTTTTTGCAACCAATCCACACGTTATCTTTGATTCCACTTACTTTCTACAACACAACAAACACAAAATTACTGAAATTTGCCGAGGCCCTAGCCATTCACACTCTCAAACCTGATCTATGCAAACAACGCGAATGGTTATCCACATACCTTAGTTTACTTTGATTTGAATGTACTACCATGAGCCATTGGAACTTGAATTTGCCGTAATCAGTAAAGGTCAAATACGGTGGCCTCAGCCAACTATTATATCATACCAACCCCCCCCACACACACACACTCACAAGTGTCCAGATCACAGTAGTCCTCATCACTGACCTGAATATCCACAATCGTGGTGAAATCACCCGGTTTGTCCAGACTATAGAATCCGGACATTTCGATTAGCTGTCGCGTGACCTCGTTGGTGATTTGATCACCCCATTCATTGATTGTGGGCATATTGATGTCATCAATGAACACTGTCATTTTCTTTCCCGCTGCCGGTCCATACGTACTACCCATACGCTTGTCCACGTAACTTTCAATTGTCCGTTGAAACATGTTAGGTGTTGTGGCACTGGAGAAGTTCAGAGACTTGAAAGCATGTGTTTCCGCGTCGTATTTGCTGCAATAGCCCTTGACAATCACCGTTTTGGCCGTGCCCTAAAAGAGGAGGGTTAGAAACAAGTAATGAAAATAAGGTATTGAGGTATGCTTTGCATTCGAAAAAAGTAGCATGTAATCTTGGCGCTGTAAGTGATACGTTGAGGTTCTACTTGCCTGGTTCTCAGTTTGCAGCAGTTTGCATGGTTGGGATAACACCCATTCGGCGAAAAATGTGTTCTTACCCCGAAAGAATAGACTCAGAAAGAACAAATAATTTTACATATACTTGAATGTTGAAAAGACAATGCGTCGAGTAGTTCGGTCGCTGGATTCAATTTGATTAGAGAGCAGGTTTGCTGGGTGGTCAGATAATTGGTGTTTCCATAGGCCTCTCTATAAGTTGGGCGGATGACCGTATGTCAAAAGACCAGAACTGCCGGACAGCCCTCGCAACGTACGGGAGAGGAATAAGACGTATCTATGGGTCCAAGTTCCACAATATTATGATTAAATAATCCCTATACGGGGATAGCTACACTGAACGGACTCGAAAGGTGACATTCAACTGTACACTGTATGGTTTCCTTTCTTATCTGTTAGGCTCTCTCTAGGCTGACGTGACCAGTAGTTGCTAAATGAATGTTTAAATCGATGTAATGTATTACGGCATGAGAAGTACTCTCAAAAAGAAAAACTCACTTGTTAAATCAACGTTCAATCATTGTCTGAACCCTTTTGTAACCTTCAAGTAAACAGCAGTCAGATTAATCAAGAATACTTAACATATTCAATCATGCAGCACAACTTTTTCTGCCTGAACGTGTCCAACAAACTGAATGTGCATCTGGTCAACAATGATGCCCATATCGCTCGAGCACGATCGACTGGTGTCCTAGTGAAGCCGTTTGAAACGTAGCTTATGAATTCTATTGCAGCATCACGCTACGGCGGTACGCAATGGCTCAAGCGTTGATCGCGCATGATTCATGGGTATCATCGGAGCATGACCCGATATGAATTTTCAGGGGGGAGCGGGGGAACAGAGAGAGAGAAAGAGATACACGCGTACGCGTACGCGTACTATAGCTTTTTCAT